CTGAGCGACCCAATTCTTTGAATCAAAGAAAATTTCTTTACCCTCATTCCGTTAAATATTTTCTTATGAGTAAAAAAATATAAGTTAATTGAAAATAATATTTTATTAAATTAAGATTTTCTTTTGTTAATTACGAATTTCTCATTCAGTTGTACGAAATGTTTTTTTGGATTGACTAAATTTGTTTCAATTAAAAGAAAATATTTAACGGAATGAGGGTAAAGAAATTTTTTTTTATTCAAAGAATTGGGTCGCTCAGTATACTTCTGTTATAGGATTAACGAGAACAATTAATTAGTATCACGCGGTATCATTTTAATATTATGTTGCAACGATTTTTAAGATACATGTGACTTGCAAGACATACATAACATAACAATTATTGTAAGGTGTACGTTTACTTCAATTCGTCAAATTTAAACAAAATAAAATAATTTTATTATACAAATATTTTGAGGCATATTATAAAATAAATGATTCAAAGTTCAATAAATGAATGCAGAAAACTTATAACATAAATTAGGAAAAAATTTATTTATCTTCGTACCTCCTAATTTTATTGTTTAACTTATTCTATTAAATGTTATTCTTTCAGGAATTTTTATTTTTATTCATTGAATTCTCACATGATACATGATATGAACACTTTCTTACGTATGCTTTCAAACATAACTTGCAAATATTGTTTGTATTTCCCTGTATGAATATTTTTCTATCTGAATTCCTTGTAGTTCTAAATATATATTTGCGCCACCAAGACTCTTGCCTTTTTTTTATCATCCAGCAGTTGTCACCTAAAAATAAAAAATAAATTAACCGTAGTAGTTAAACATCTGTGGTCTATCCATTAATCTTAATATTTTTATGCCCTATAATAGAAATATAAGCTGAAAAAAATAATTATGAAGGACATTTTCGAAAACAGTTGTAGTCTTATGAGATTCTCTAACATAAAAAGAAACTGTATAACTATATCATTATCAATTAGAAAAATACTTGAGTGTATATTATTCTAAAAATCTTGTTAGTGACACATTCAATTTACGTTTTAAAACATTCTAAAGTGAGACAGTTTGTAGTATAACTATTTCTGCCCCAAATAAAACTTTACTATTACTTCATAATCATAACTAACTTTACAACGTTACAACAGCCATTAACTGCTAGTTTTTATTGAAGTTTTTGTCGTTAATGAATAAACAAAAAACTAAATTACAGCGTAATGAGAAATCCAGAACAGGTTTTTTAAATTCATTGCACTCGCTGCATTAGAACTACACGTCGTATTTTTACCAACGTATAAAAACTAAGTGGAATATTTTCCCGTAAAAACGAAATGTTATATACATAGAGCTAAAAATGAATAAACACTCTAGAAGACTTTTTTTTAGGATGAAATAAAAAAAGCTTACTTGGAACATGTATATTTTAAAAGCTGTATGCGTAGAGGGTACATTACACATCCAACCACAACATTACACTTAATTTGGTAGGTACGAGAGTCCTAACTTATGCCACGAGACATTCTATCCCTGAGAAAATTTGAAGTTTTGCAATGCACAAATGAAATTTTGCCTCGATAAAAACATAATTTCAAGAGCAAGCACTCAAGCTCTTACAACCTTCGGGGTTGCAGCTGAGCTTCCACTTGGGGCATCGCACTTCACATTCCAATCACACCCAGACACGCGCGCACGAACTCACCCCTGGGAAACGGGAGCTCATCTTCCTTCTGCGGATGATTTTGGTCAAGCGTCTGGGACCCACTGGACCACGGAAAGTACGGCCACTGGGAACTCGGCGCCGGTACCAGCCAGCACACGAGCAGCGACAGCACAAACGGCCGTGGCATCGGAATCGCGACGGGTGAGCATACGATCACTGGACACTCCGGGACTGGAGAACACGCGGTGGCCCCGACCTCGAGTGGGCCCCGACTCCCCACTTCGAGGCCGGACTGGCGACATTGATGCTGCGTGCGGCACAGGTACCGTTGGCCGGTCGCTCTCGAGACCGCGATTCCGTCTCGGATAAGCGAAATAATGGGACCCGAGTGGCACGCGAACGCGCACACATACGGTGTATGGGCAGTGGTCAGTGGGTTTTATACATCACGCTCTCTTGTATTTAGCGCCTTTTCTGCGTCGGCCGTGCAATTTGAAGGCTTTAACCGTTGCTTCGGCGCAGGTAGCGCTAGCTGGTGTGACGACTTTTTTTTTATTTTCTCGTTGTGCTTCAAGACAGCTCAGACTTGGGTTTTTTAATGACTTTTTCCCGAGCTCGCAAACACGTTGGAGCAGTCAAGAATAGAGAAAACAAACGTTGCAGTAATGATGGCTCCATTCGTAGTGTCCAGACACAATGGGTTGTTGTCTGAAAGGTTTAATGTTGACCACAACAAATGTTTTAGTCTTTGATTTCCGAGGGTATAAAAAAGCACTTTAAATTACTATTCATGAAGGTGTCGTAAACTATTATTCATCACTGCTATGCCACTAATCATTATGACGCATCTTCTTTTGCGTGGATAATTTAAAAATAGTACCTTACTTTTTTCCAAAATATACAAAGGTACTTGTTTCATATTTTTAAAATTATACTTTTAAACACTAAGATATCAATGAATGTATTAAACTATCCCTACCATAAACTTCCTGCTTATGCTAATAAACTTGCAAAACGGTAGTGCTGTAATTCATGAATACCTTAGGAAAAAAATAATTTTGCTTTTTTACACAAAAGTATTCGTATAGATGGTAATTAAAATTTTTTCTAGGAGTGTACTAAAGTTTTCTTTAAAACTCGTGAAAAAATTTTTGATACGTACAATTATTAGCCTATCTTAAGACTACTTCAACCGATTGGGTTCGTTCACGTCTGAAAACTGTTTAAATAAACTTTAAAGCATTAATTAATTACGTTTCACTTTAAAATTTCATGGTGGACTGAATCTGTATTAAACAAGTGCGTTGAAATGGGAACAATCACGTTCATCATGAACGCACCCTTTTTTTTTTAATGGCTAGAGTTGTAAGTTTTTAATAACCATTTGTATTTTTTGTTTAGTTCTTTCATAATAATTATTTTCTATTTACTTGTCCAATAAACTTCTGACTTAGTTTCTCTATGAAGAGCAATTATATTCAGGTTTTTATCAATAAAATACATTAAATTGTTTTAATCTGATCTACTTTAATATATGAATAAAAAAAATATTTAGGCGTGTAGTTACGTAGCTTAAAATTTAAAACAGTAAAGTAGTCCATGATTTACAAGCTTGTACTAAATGAGATCCTTATAGTTGAGGCGTAAAAATACGTTTCGAAAAAATATTTAAAACCATTCAGTCGATTAATATGAAAAATTCCGTAAAAATAAAATTTATTTATTTTAAGGGCCTAGATTTTGCCAATATAAGTTTTATATGACCACATATACAAAAGTCGTATTTCGTATTAAATATCTTACAATGGACAAGAGTAAGCTCTACCTCAGTTTCTGTTCCCACCGAAAAGTTCTAACAACTTTATAGCAATCTTTTCGTAATTACTCGCAGTTTTGATCAAAAACGTCCTGTTTGGTATACATAAAAATGTATGAAAAAATAAATCGTTGCAGTCTTCACTCTCATTTATTTCTTTATTATATTTCGCTCGATTTTTGCTGTGACCTAGTTAAGCCAAGTTATACCGAATTTCGATGATTGAGAAAGAAGATGAGAAAGTGGCGATTTCAGATGGAAGAGAAAAAAGATTGCAGAGAACCGCAAGCAAAACGCACATCACAATTGGCGTCGATTGTCCAGTGCTTGTTTTGCTAACGATAATGGCCTAGAGAATACACCTGCCGGCATTATAGGCGTATGTGAAGTAGCATCGCTTTGCTTGCGATTCGCGTGTACTCCTGCAGCTT